AACAGGTTCCAACAAGGAACAACATCTCCATGTTCCAACAAGGAACAAACTTCAATCTTCACCTGCAACTAACAACGCTATAAGAGGGGCTGAGCAAAGCGGTAACATAGCCAAACAACGGTTTGCTAGGACAAGGTGGGTTAGAGGCTTGGTTCAACAATATAGGAGGCATGATAAGCAAGTGGTAGGTATCGCAGCATAGGCATAGCAAAAGAGCGAGCATCTAGCAAGCAAAGATAGAAGTGATTTCGAGGGTATGGTCATCTTGCCTGAAATCCCGCAAGGAAGAAGAACGAGTCCATGAAGAATACAACCGGACGTAGTCGAACGGATCCTCACAAACACGACGTTATCGGAACCAACCCGAAGAAGCAACATCGAAAAGAAGCACACAACATAGTAAACAACCAACACCTGAACATGGCATGATGCACAACCAAGTATGATGCATGTCCGGTTTAATGAAGCATGGCATGGCAAAGTGCACAAGCAATCCTACAACTTAAGTGGAGCTCGATATGCAACTCCGTTGCATATTGACGAAACACCACGTGACTTATTTAGTTCTCTCCCATTTGTGTACCCAACAATATTAAATGTTGATTAACATGGCAAGAGGGTGAAGCAAAGTAAAACTACCTATCTAGTCAAGTTTAAATGAGGCCGGAAGCAACGAACAACAATTCCGGTAAATCCCCATATGCATATATTAGGTTTGGTACTGTTATTCCCTAAACCATATTTTATAGTTGTTAAACATGCAAAGTGGTGCCACCATGTTAAACTAGGCATTTTTCTACCCCATTTACATATAAAGTATGTTACAAACCGAGCTACGGTTAAATAGTTATGAATTAAATCATTTTAGCAAGTTATTTAAGCAAAGTTAAACAAACAGCATTATAAACATTTTGAACATGGATGGAAATGACATATTATGAAACTACACAAAATTCTAAGCAACTTTCATATACAAATCATTTTAATCCGGTGCATAGATGATGAGTTATTATATGCTTGAAATAGGAGGGTTTTTCTGTAAAAACTACTGACTCTGAAAAATAGGGAAAACGTTCTATGCAAAAAAAACAGGATACGGGCCGGAACTGGTTGTCCCATCAGGTAAGGAAAAAAGGAGGGCGCTGGGATGTGGGTGGCTCACCCATGGGCCTCGGCCCAGTCAGCGGGCTGCAGCAGACCGACTGGAGCTGTGGGCCGCGGTCAACGGCGAAGGGCAGGGGACTGGGCCTAGGCGCGTGGCTGGAGAGGAGATCGACCCGCTCGGGTGGGTTGACGATGCGGTCAATGCGTGCGCAGTTGCCTGGCATTGCTCGATGCAGAAGGAAGCAGAGATTGCGGGGATGAACATGGCGAAGCAGGGATGTCGAAGGCTTATGGCGGCGCGGCTGCAGAAACCTGGGACGGTGGCCGGCGGGAGGCAGCGAGGTTGGCCGGATCCGAACAGATCCGAGCGGGGCCGATCCATTCCCGGCGGTGGGAGACGACTCCGGTGCAGTGGAGCTCCAGCGGCGTGGGCGCAAAGCTTTAGGCAATCCTGCCATCGTCCCTGTGAGGGAGAGCTGGAGGAGCTCGGGCCTCAGGTGCGGGAGCAGAGGGGCCGAGGCGCCATGGCAGGGAAACGGCAGCAGCAGCGGGGGAACTTGGCAGCATCCATGGCTGGCGGCGTTGTATGGTTCCTGCAGCGACACGGTAGAGAGAGGGAGCACGCGGTGAGAGAGAGAGGAGAGAAGGACGAGGAAGGAAGAGGCAGGGGCGCATGTCCTGCTGCAGGTGGTCTCCGACGAGACCGGCCAGCGACGAGGGACTCGAGGAGCTCCTCTCCGTTGGGTTCGAGCGGGGCAGGGAGGAAGAAAACGCATCGGACAGGAGGCGGCGACTGCGGGATGCCTCAGGCTCCTCTGGTTCGACGCGCAGCAGACGCGGGAGGCGAGACGAGGCTAGATTGGTGGATCGGGGGGAAGCGGAGGCTGGTGCTGGTTGGCTAGATCAGATCTAGGAGGATCCCGAGAGGGGATTAGGTGGAGAGTGCGGTGGCGGGTGAAGGGACAAACCTCCTAATTTCTAGGGTTTGACCAAAAAGGACTATGGGTGGGCGAATATATACACCACGGGTTAGGTTAGGGGTTATCTTGACCCTACGATCGTAATCGGACGATCGCGGATAAAATAGCTAGGGAGTCCAATTAACAAAATGGAGATATTTTGTAGATGTTTGGGGATGATCCGGATCCAACGGTGACGACTTCTTGGGTCGGGTCCGGGACAACTTTCGAACGCGCGCGCGAGGATTGGCCGTGGGCGGACGAGAGAGGTTAGGTAGGGTCTGACGGTGAGTAGTGGACTGTGCAGAAGGTCTCAGGCTGAGAGAAGAGAAGAGAGACCCGGCGACTGTTTCCGGAGACCGAAAACGTCCGATGTTAGACAAACTATATTGCCGCATTAGATTAACGGTTGGGCTATCCAACGAACACCGAATGCGATGAAACTTGACAGGCGGTCTATCTACACTATAATAAGACCACACGCCAACTTTCAACCCAATCCGAGAACATTTTCCGGCCACTTATAAAATAATAATTTGGACGTGCCGCGGGCGCGTGTAAGTGTGTCTGGGCTCAGAATGGATGGAACTGGGGGAACCCAGACAGATGCAAGTTTTGAAAACATGAAGATGCAATGCACATGATGACATGACAAGATGCAACACGCAAGCAAAAGGCAAGGCAACAACAGCGAATAACTGGAGGACACCTCGCACATCGGTCTCGGGGCGTTACAACACTCCACCACTACGTGAGGATCTCGTCCCGAGATCTAGGATCGCACCGGAGGGAAAACGGAAGAGAAAGAGGAGAGGTAAAGCTAAGTTGCTTCTTTGACAAACGAGTGAAACCACGAACCTTGATAGGTTGAACAAAATTCGAGAAAGAACACAACGAAGGTGAACAAAGTTGAAAACTCTCTGTTAGACAAGAGGAACAAGGAACATCACTAGAACCTTGTAGGTTGAAAGCATAAGAAAAAATGTTGCAATGAACAAGAACTACATGCAAGTACTCCGGTTGAAACGAGATGTACAAGGGACGATAAGGATCAATTACGATAACACTCCGGTTAAAAAAAGATAGAGAAGGGAAAAGAATGATATAATTTGGACAGCACTCCGACTGTAAATGGAAGGAATTGAACATGAATTTGAGGAGATGGGATGATACTTGATGAAAACAATAACACAATGCCTCCGGAACTATTGCAAGAAATGGCACAAGGGGTAAGAAAGATTTCAGACATCACTCTGGTCGAGAATGGAGGTAAAACTTGATAAGATGATTGAACTGGAATAAAAACACGACACTCCGGTTGAATGGATAAGCAAAGGAAAGAACATGATCTTTGACAAAATGAGATGATGGGTGAAAAGAACAACACCACAATGCCTCCGGAAGAAATGAGAGAAAGGAATGGAATGAACGGAGGAAAAAAACAAGATCTTGAGAGAGTACGTTTACAACATATGCTAGAACGGAGTTGTTGGAAAAAAACAACAACGAAAAGAGTAAGCTTGTTGTGGGCTTATGGAAAAACATCTCAAAACTGAGTTCAAATTCTGCGACTGACAGAAACGATAGATTGGATTGATATCAACAAGGAGACGAGAAGCTTATGTCACCGAGAGGATAAATGAAGAACTTGGATCATTTATAAGCACCATAGATATCAACAATCCTTAGGTAAGGCTTTAGGTGAAACATGACACAAGATAACTCCAACGAAGAGATTTATGGATTTAAAATACATGATTCTTAACAACATGTGAATCATGAAGCATGAACTCAAATTATCAAGAATGACATAATACCACCTCCAATAATATGGTAGAAAGAATTGCACTCCGGATTGCAAGAAGAAGAAAGCTTAAACTCCTCTGAAAATAATCTTGATGAACGTTTCGAGAACGGATTAAGTCCTTTATGGACCATCATGCAGAAACTTCATGAAGAACTCCGGTAAACAAAAGAATGATCAAACGAAAAGAAAGATGAGAAGAGTAAGGTTGAAGCCTTGCAATGATTAGATGAAGCTTTGCGACGAGATAAAGAGGAAACTTGGAACTCCGGAAAAGAAAGATGAACAAATGGAAACAAGAATTTGATGAGCCTCCGGAATAGGGAATTAATCACTCGATGAAGCAAGAATAAGAATTACGTTATGCGTATCCATCACCAATTTTTAAATTGATGACAATCAACGGATTTGGCATATTACTTATTCTCGTAGAAAAAAATTAAGATAGCGTCAACTTGGGAAGGTCTTCAACGAACCACCGGTAGGATTGGAACAACGAATAAATTGATATGATAACGAAGGAAAAGAAATCTTGAATGAACCACCGTAAGAATTAAAATGGCCCAAGAAAAGATAAAGGAACACCGTGAAGAATTATGAAATGAACAAAGATACTTGAGAGAATTTAGATACAAGAGGACGAATAGATCACGAACTGATTAGAGGATATTTGATCGATGCACCGGTAAGATTTAGAGGATGATAACTGAAAGCTGAGAATGAATAAACCTGAATTTGATGGAAGTCGGATAATCAAACTGAGAAGACTCTTGAATTGCTTCGGATGGGTGAAACGAATTCTCAAAATCGAAAATAATTATGAGCGGATGGCAACATGCTAGAATCACGAATCTCGGAGAGAACGGATAAGATATGGAGGTAAAACTCTTCTTCTGTCTTCAAAATCTGAGAGTTACGATGAGAGACACCACCATGAATTATTTAGACACTCCGGAAGAATCAAAAAGCGAAGAGGTTGAGCCAACTATCAAAAGAATTGTGAAAGATCTAGGAGAAGGCATTTGACTGATGACAATTCATTCTTACGTCAAACTTTGAAAGAATTTGAGGATAGCTCCGGAAAAATAAGAAGAGTCAGGTAAGATCCTGGAAAAAGACCCGTGGGTTAGGGCCCACTGAAAAGATACACCGTTGAAATGATTTAAAAGATAGATTGCGCCAGTTGAATTAAATGGCTAGAATGATATAACATCCTCAAAATACCTTGAACAACTGCAGAGTTGAAACACGAATCTTCTGAGCTATCTTCGGCACTCCGGAACAAATGTAAAGCGGGAGGTGAATGATTAAGAGGTGCACTGGTAAGAGGTGGTATTTGAAACGAGGAAAGAATATGATCAACAAAGCTTGAATTGGTCCACCGGAGAAGAAAAGAGCAAATAATGATGAACCTGAGGCTCCGTTAGGATCATCATGAGAATCACCGGGTAAGAATATTGACGGAAAAGAATAGAGAGACTTCACATGAATAAAAGGATACTTGATTAAGAAATCTGAGTCCTTGAAGAAAAAGGGGTGGGTGGGTGGGAAAACAAAGGCAGCTTGGGATGAATGGAACAAACACCGTTGAGAAGAACTGATAATTGATCTTGCTGATATTGAAATGATCGGATCCACTTGAAGAGAGACACACCAGTTGAAAAGGATTGACATGACAATCTCGATTATCAAGAAGGATTAGTATTCACATAGGAACATGAGAACACCGTTTAGAGAAGGTATGGAATCAACATTTGACTTCGAAGTAACTCGAATACCACAACTCAAAACAAAAACAAAGGGTTGGCTTGCAGAATAAGCCGGAACAAACATATGATAGAGATTTCGTCCGAAGTTTTCGTGGTGGGGCCTACACGGGCTCAATCGTACAGCACCATCATGTACAAGGCAGTGCACAAGACATACGAAGCGTCCCCGAGTCGGCATAGCCAAGGACTCTTTAAGGCACAATGAGACCACTGTAAAACCAACCGTGAATAGGCGGACCACTAGACGTCGAACCCTAATTTCAAATCATACATCTGTCAGAAAGAAATCCTAGGAGCTACTTGAATTACCACTTATAAACTCCCGAAACTTTCCCGGTTATGCAATCAGGTGTTGGGGATACAGGGGAGGGATAATATCTCACCCAAAACTAGCAAATCCTACATCCAGCTGTATCCATCCTTCAACACATAACCAAGAAACCGTCGAAAATCATTTACCTCAACCTTCGAAAAGCGTCCGTTATACGAGTTATGGCAATACTCCCGAACTCCCGCCCTAGTACTGGGTGGCGTCGAGGTTATCTCACCAACAACTGCATAAAAGAGATTTTCGATGTCGGCGAAACTAAACTCAGGTATTCCAGAACTGCAACGATAAAATTGTGACGACAACACCTCGGAGCTCAATTCCTCGGGACACTGCCACAACCCCTAAATGTCAAGAGGCACGAAGAACAATGTTCTCGTCACAAATCGATCGGAACGATTCCAAGATACCCGCGTGATCCTAAATTTTTTTTTGTGAAATTTGAGAAGAGACGAGTCAAAACTCTATGTCAGGATGCCTCACCAGGGCGATGAAGGGACTGAGGAGTAAAAAGAAGTCCTAACTCTCCAATATATATAATTCCTAAAAGACTCAAAACATTTCTAGACTCAATAGCGCCAGCGATTCGATCAAGCAGGGGGCTCCTAAGGTCGGGGAAGGATCTGATTACCAACTTGTGACGCCCTCGATGCGGCTATATCTCCCACGTGTCGAAGCACGGCTTAGAGGCATAACCGCATTGAAAGCAATGTCGCAAGTGAGGTAATCTTCGCAAACAAACCATGTAATACAATAAGGGAAAAGATACATAGTTGGCTTACAATCGCCACTTCACACAAATACATGAATAAAGCATTACATCATCCAGATACAATCAAGGTCCGACTACGGAACCAAAATAAAAGAAGACTACCCGAAATGTTACACAGATCCCCGATCGACCCCAACTGGGCCCCACTACTGAACAACAAGAACGAAACAACACAAAGGACAAGACACTACAGGAATCAGCTACTTTGCCATCTGCCAGCTCTTTGCCGTCAGCTAGCGGACGGCAAAGAAGCTCTTTGCCATCAGCTACCTGAAAGCAGACGGCAAAGAACAGGCTGATGGCAAAGAAAGCCTTTGCCATCAGCCTGTTCTTTGCCGTCAGCTAGCTGATGGCAAAGAATCTTTGCCGTCTGCTAGCAGACGGCAAAGAGGGAGGGGGCCCCACTGAGGAGCTGGTTAAAAAATACTTAATGGCCCCCCTCTTTGCCGTCCGCTAGCGGACGGCAAAGCGCACATTAGCGGACGACAAAGGTGGCGGACGGCAAAGATTAAACATATCTAATTAACGGCCGGCGCGCCCCACCCCCCTCTCTCTCTG